CACCCGAAGTGTCCCAGAATACTGCAGGACACGTGGATGCCTTTGCAAGGCAAGTGGAGGGCTACTTTTTGAGCTGCCAACTCACCAAAAAGAAATCAAACTAATGTACAAAGTGTAGACATATACCAGTGCCATTAGGTTGTATATATTTCCCGATTGCTGGCTATGTGGGACTCTTTTTCCTCTCTTGATTGCTTTTTGCTGGGCCATCTGTTCTCTCTACCACTTCTCCTTCGCAACATCCTTGATGTTGGCCACACTTGACAGCCTGGTACAGCAAACTAATTCGACAGGCCTTGAACACGCAATTGTTTGAAGCCCAAAAGAGCTGAAAACATGTTTGGGCACTAGAAATATGAAAGTCACGTGACAATCACTAATCCCGCCATCACCCCTGAAATATCTGGATAGAATTGGACCGCAAAATGCAACCCCTTCCGCAGCAACCAGTTTTTGGGAAATCTCATGCTCGACCAGAAAAAGACTGTCCGACAAAAATAGCCATGGTACCCTCTGGTTATGACTGTTACAGTTCGCCATGGTTACGCCATGGCCCATAGAAATAGATGGTTTACCGTTCGCTATATAAAATGGGTGGATTTTCCATGGCGAACTGTTAGTCATAACCAAATGGTAGCTTGTTGCAATCCAACATAATCCAACCAACGGAAAATACCCCGTCTACACACAGGATTACACAGTCATATTAAGCCACCCTCGTCTCGACGCAAAGACGTCACGGCTCCTGCCCTGACGCGGTTCAGTTGGATTTGATCAAAGAGGTGCGACAAATTCGCCTGCCGTGGATAGGCTGGAGGTAGGCGAACCCCATTCGGTGCGAGTTTTGAGCAAATACCATCTGGTGATTTAACATAGCCATGGAAAGTCCCTAATAATCCTAATAAATGGAAGTTTCTAGCTGGGAAAATCATCTATTTCTATGGGCCATGGCTTCCATGGCTATGTTTAAAAAACCAGAGGGTAGATGTAGATATAGACTATATAGATATAGACATGTAGATATAGTGATACAGTATAGATATAGATATACACATGCGCAGTGTTCAAACTCTCTGTCTTCCCTTTATGCTGGTTAATGGAAATTGCCATTGTGGATGGTGATAATCCCCAACTCATTGGATAGTAGAATCCCTGATAATCATCAATTAACAAGGGTTTGGAACACTGCTCACATGTCTTCTATAGATCGTGGTTCAATGTTCAAGAAACCATAGATGTAGCTGAACATGAAATTAAACCTACCTATCTACCCTCCATAGTTATATTATTGCCAAATTCTGAAAATAATTCAACCGTGTTCAAACAGCCGCACCAGGCAATTACTATGATATTACCATATCAGAAATATCTCCATATTGCCATATCATATTACCATATATTACCATATCATATTGCCGCATTCATCTTAAAGCAACCCCAAGTCATAGATGCCGAAACGTGGAAACCTGGCAACATGAAGTAAACCTCATGGAACTAACACTCTGGTGGCTTTTGCTTGGGTATATCCCCTTTGAAATCCCATAATTCCCATCAAACACCATTCCAAATCCACTGAAAAAATTCCATTCTAAATCTCATGAAGTCCCATGGAAAATCCATTGAAATGCCATATAATTGCCATAATTCCCCATTGATTATGGGATTTAAATAGATTTTCCATGGAAATTGCCATAAATCCCATGAAAAATCCCATCAAAAACCCCATGGTTCTCCATCCTCTGGAGAGATTTGCAGCACGCCATGACGGACGTCCAGGTGAAAAATCCGATAACCTGCCGCCAGGTTCAGGAGGAACAATGCTGAGATCATGGGAAACTTCACTGGAAACTTCAGTGGAAGATCGTGGGATGGGGTGAGGTTACTGAGATTTATGGGAATATCATGGTGATTTCATGGAATAATTTCATGGGATGTATAAGCTACATTACCCTCCGGTAATCTCACATAGCCATGGAAAATGCTCCTGTGAATATCCTGTTGCATTGTGTTTAATAGGAGATTCGTCTACAAATATATGTAATTGTCCATCACTGTGTTGGATACCACATGTTTTGGGCGATTGGGATTACCCTCCAGTAAATTAACATAGACCCTGGCAGTCATCGGGCTTGGAAGATGAGTGAGTTTCCACTATTTTAGTCACTCAAAATGGGTCATGTTCAGGGTCTATGAAAATAACATGTGTTGATCTTGGGTTGATATTTTACCATAGGGTTTTCAACTCAAAGTCAACCCATTTGGTTTATTTACCATAGGGTAAATGGGTTGATTAATTGGGGAACATCTTTTGGGAACATCTCAGGGAACATCGAAAACGCAAAACGCCAGGCCATCTCAATATGACAGAAGGGGCGCTCCCGGTTTCCGGCGGTAGCCCTGGATCCAATATTGGGGTAGTCACTCTCTGATCAGTAAATATCAGCTAATATATGGTTACTATATGTTAATATATGCTAATATATGGTCAATATAATGTTAATATATGATAATATATGATTAATATATGGCTAATATATGGTTAATCTATGGGTTAATATATGGGTTAAATGACCAAACTGCCCTTAAGGAATGAAGGATCATCCAGAGACTAGTAAGGACGAAATTCGGAAACTACACTTCCCAACGGTGGCTGAAAAAACTTTGTCAACCCCAAGTTGTCAACACATGACTGCTCTGAGCAAATGATAATTCCGTATAATTCCCAACTCTGAAGTAAGCCCTGAATCGGGAAAACTTCCCACCATGAAGCATTTCACGGCACGTCAGCACAACTCATGGCAACCCCGCACTGTGTTGGTTACGTACTGGTTCGATCCACGAAGTTGTTTCGTTGCACGCCTTGATCCATATCGTGTGGTTTTCTAGAATCCCATTTTGGTCATAACATTCCCAGTTTTGTTGGTCCTATCCAGTGAATCTGCCTTACCCTGAATGACCGGTCTGGTTGATTAAATTGAACTGCCATGCTGTTCATCAAATCCGCAAAAATATGTGTCATTTAGATCACCCTCTGTTGATAACCTATTTTCTGAAGTCCACCGTTTCAGGTTGGTAAAAAAGCAGAAAATCTTCCCAGTTCAACATTCACTAGTTACTTGAAGTCACAACCTTTCTTTCAGCAAATCTTGATTGTTGAACAAGCTTCGGCCAACCAACCAGGCTCTAAGGATTGTTCATCATCTTCCCTATCAAAATGGTGGTAGATTGGGTGAAATCCACGACTTTTTGACAAACCAAGAATCATATTGTTTATCCCATTACATCCCATTAAATTGTTGGTTTCATACCATAGTTTTTGACAAACCCATCTTGAATCCAAATTTCTGGATTGCAAACCCTTATTTCTTGTTTGCTGGCTACAACACCAATTCAGCCAATCATTCATTGAATGATTAACCACCCCACCATGTGTTTTTTTGTTTTTGTATGTTTTTGTCTATTGGTTGAACCCCTTTTAAATCTCCATTTGGGTCAGTAAACTTACCTTTTTTGTTCGCTAACTCAGGCTGTGTTGCTTTGGATTTGAATCCTCCCCCCAAAAAAAACAACAGCCATGATGGATTTCCCCTGTGGTAAACCAAGTGCCAACCATGACCTTCTGTCATGTTAGATCATCTTAATCAGTGTACTTTACCCAAATACTCCCAAATATTAAATACCCAACAAAAAAGGCAAAAAAAATGTTTATACTGTAATCACAGAGAGCGTGCAGAAGGGCACGAATTTGATTTTGGCAAAAGCGGCCACTTGCGGCCACTTGCGGCCACTTGCTCTGGCGGCCACTTGCGGCCACTCGATTGGCTGCAAGTGGCTGCAAGTGGTTGCCGATGAAAAGAGAATGCGGGCGCCCGCTGGCGGCCACTGGCGGCCACTCGAGTGGCTGCAAGTGGCTGCAAGTGGCTGCCGATGAAAAACCAAATTCTGGTGGCCACTGGCGGCCACTTGCGGCCACTCGATTGGCGGCCACTCGATTGGCGGCCACTCGATTGGCCGCAAGGGGGTGCAAGTGGCTGCCGATGAAAAGAGAATGATGGCGGCCACTGGCGGCCACTGGCGACCACTCGAGTGGCTGCAAGTGGCTGCAAGTGGCTGCCAGGCGTGGGTGAAACTATATGTTTCACCATTCATCCTCTCTTGGGCGGAGAATATTGGGAATTTCCGTTGCCTGCGCATTGCGCACGGAAAATTTATAACATTCTCCGTGGGCGGAGTCTTGGCAATGTGAAGTACTGTACAGTCCTCATTTCTATGTTGAGGGAATTTCTTTTGAGTGAGGCACGGCCAATATGAAACGTTCCTAGGTCATGTGGCCTAATCCGAAAAAAATCTGGGATAATGGAATGACGTCAATTTAGAACTCTGGAGTCAGGACTAGAATTCCTTCAACTGATCGAACGCCTGTTGCAGCATCGCCTTGGCATTCTGTTGATTCAACTGCATGCCTGGCGGACCACGCCTGGTCACTTTGACCTGCGTCATAATGCTGTGACCGCGCGGTACAGCGGAATAGGAGGCATTCAACCTATTCAACAAATGGTTCGCCAGTCGGGAGCCGGTTGACGCTTTCTGCGTCAAATTTTGAATCACCGAGGCCGACTCATTCAAACTCTGTGAGGCAACACTCAGCGCCTCTGGGTACTAGAGCAAACAAGTTCATATGATGTTTAGCATTAAAGCAGATGGAAGACAAGAATAATCGTTCTCCAAAGTCTATCCAAGTTCTAAAGTGTCATGCCTTTGCCCTCCAACCTCTCGGGACCAACACACGCCAGAACCATCAAAACGCACTGCATCAAAACATAGCTAGGTTGGTTACCTAATTCTCACAACCCTCGAAAGATATTCCATTGATTTCTGTATCCTAAATCTCTCGAAAGTATGAACTGCATCATGTCCTCACTCTCAAAACCCTCCATCCATCATTAACATTCAGCCGCCATTGATGAGCTTCACACCTGAAGCGCCCTCCAGCATTGCAAGGCAGGCATATCCAAAGATCCAACCCAGGTAATATGTTATATGAATGAACCAGTACGGGTAATACATCGGAATTAAAAATACTTCATAGAGGAATGGCAATGATGATGGTGATGATGATGATGATGATGTTTCGACTGAAACTGTCGCTAGTGTCAGTATTGCTGTTGGAAGCTGGCTGACCATGCTGCAGGAAGCAGCATGTCTTCTGCGACAGGTTCTTTTTACTCGCCACTAGAGACGCATGCAACGCAACGCTGCAGGATCTTGCCAAGGTCACGTTTCCTGTCCGACAGCGAGAGCAGCATGATTATGCAGTCATCAGAGGAAGGGTTCCACTGACAGCTAAACATAGTGATTCATTGGTATTAAACCATCCTGCAGAGGTCTCACCAGTTGCTGTCGTTTTGGGCCCATGACTTGTAACTTTTGCTCAATGACTCGAAATGGAGCATGAAAACATTACCTCTGTGGATATTTAACAAGGGTATTTTTCCGACTCCCAGGATTACGAAAGTTGAGTCTTGGATCAATAATGTATGACAGAGATTCGCATCTAATTTCATTATAGAGGTGAACGTGCTAGACCACATGATGAAGAATCATCAATCCTTCGTGTCACCTTAAACGGGCATGGGCATTGATGTTATCAAGAAGCATGTTTGACATGTTGATTTAATGTTTTTCTCGTAAATGGAAAGAACTATATCACATCGTAGCGGGAGCGGGGGTTCCAGTCCGCCACCAGCCTCTAAGCCTCTAAGCCTGTAATGTCTGGAGGCGGCCTGTAAGCCTGTAAGCCTCTAAGCCTCTAACACGCGATTGTTGGACGAAAGCTCTAAAGCCTCTAAGCCTATTAGGCTCGCAAACTGGCTGAACGCCTCTAAGCCTCTAAGCCCGTCAGCCTCCATCACGCTTCTCACGCCTCTAAGCCTCTAAACGCCTCTAAGCCTCTGAACGCCTCTAAGCCTCTAAATGCCTCTAAATGCCTCTAAACGCCTCTAAGCCTCTAAACGCATCTAAGCCTCTAAACGCCTCTAAGCCTCTGAACGCCTCTAAGCCTCTAAACGCCTCTGAGCCTCTAAACGCCTCTAAGCGCCTCTAAGCCTCTAAACGCCTCTAAGCCTCTAAACGCCTCTACGCCTCTAAACGCCTCTAAGCCTCTAAGCCTCTAAACGCCTCTAAGCCTCTAAACGCCTCTAAACGCCTCTAAGCTTCTAAACGCCTCTAAGCCTCTAAACGCCTCTAAGCCTCTAAACGCCTCTAAGCGCCTCTAAGCCTCTAAACGCCTCTAAGCCTCTAAACGCCTCTACGCCTCTAACGTCGAAACGCCTCTACGCCTCTAAACGCCTCTAAGCCTCCAAACGCCTGTTCATGTGACGATGTATAACATGCTGATGCTACGCGAGAGGATGGGGTGGGGTGGGGCGGGGCGGCGTTAACGTTCATGCGACGATGCACCACATGTTGACGCTACCCGAGAGGATGGGGTGGGGTAGGGTGGGGTAGTGTTAACGTTCATGTGACGATGCACCACATGTTGACGCTACCCGAGAAGATGGGGTGGGGTAGGGTGGGGCAGTGTTAACGTTCATGTGACGATGCAGAACATGTTGATGCTACGCGAGAGGATGGGGTGGGGTGGGGTAGAATTAACGTTCATGTGACGATGCACAACATGTTGCTGCTACGCAAGAGGATGGGGTGGGGTGGGGTCGTGTTAACGTTCATGTGACGGTGCACAACATGTTGATGCTACCCGAGAGGATGGGGTGGGGTGGGGCACTGTTAACGTTCATGCGACGATGCACCACATGTTGACGCTACCCGAGAGGATGGGGTGGGGTGGGGTAGGGCAATGTTAACTTTCATGGGAAGATCTCAGTCAGGGAGGCCTTCACAAAGCTGAAATTTTTGAGCGCACTGACTGTGTGGTTTTGGTACCGTCACCAGCGTAGCAACATTAGGCAGTATGGTTTGCGTTGGCTTCTAGCATTTTTCAATAGTCTTCGACGTCAAATGAAGCCAGGCTGACTCAAGTCTGCACCCAATCTTGTTGCTGCATCTTAATGGGCTTGCGGAAAAACATTATCATTGCAGCAGCATACATGAGGAATCCGCGGGCATGAGCATATATTCCATAAGTGTTTGCATCTTGTCATCAAACAAACTGATAAGTCAAAACAAACCAGTTGCTCGCTGAATGCGAAGTCTCTTCAGGAGACACGAATGAATTACACGCCACTTTTCACGGCGCAGTCGCTGGCTATTCATCCCAGTCTGGCTCGAGGTCGGGCTCTGAAGCCAAGTGCAGCTCTTCGTCGGATGCTTCTGCCAGCGGGTTGAATATGTCGTCTTTGGCCATCCTTGGCAGGAGTGCACGCATGTGTGCTCAAATGTTTTATGGATGTTTTTGGCCTTTTGCTCAAAAATCTGCTTTTCTTGAATTCCCTCGCGGACAAATTGCTTTCCATGTGTCAAATTGAAAAGACCTCCTTACATATCTCCACATCTGGGGTTGAAAGTGGAAAAAGGATCGGGGTTGGTATTTGGGGAGGGCTGTTGGGTCAAGATTTTGTAGCTGTAAAGTAGCTCTGCCCAACCCCAATCACTACATTTTCCATGCACAGGCCAAAAAAAATCACTACAAAAGTACAACCCCAGCCTGGATAGGGGTTACTACAAAAACCAACGAATCTAACAAGAGGCCCTTCAAGATACCCTTTAAAAAAAACACGTAGATGTTTGTAGTGATTTTTAAATAGATCCCGCAGATTTGGCAATCCCGGTTTGGAGCCCAACGTGGTCCCTAAAAGCCACAGCAACAGCACGGCTCCCAACATTGCTGTCACTGACTATCAAGTTTTCAATCCACCTGTGGCACTTTGGAAATCCTGATGTCCATATTGAGCCCAATTACACCGACATAGCATGTGGATGCATATATTGATTAATGTATGTATATGCATGTGGAATCTCAAAAAGATTCCCCAAGAAACGCTACAAAGTTCTTCAGGGGTCAAGCCCAGTTGATTTCAGAACATTGATCTTGGGACCCCACAAACTCACTACAAAGTATTTTTAGGTCAAATCTGAGTGAACTCAAAAATCAATTTTCGGTCGACTATTATCTCGCATACTTGAGCACTACAAACTTCTATGACAAGCCCATGTTTGAATCTAGAAACATATGTGACCTAGGGTTACTACAAAATGCAAGGACACATGGTCCTAGGGGGATTGCAAAAGCCATTGAAAAACCTATTTTACATAGGACCCAAGTCCACTACTTTTGTAGTGGAAATTCCAACCAGGATGAAAAAGGTGACGCTGTACAGGAATGAAGGAGTGAAGGAGAGTGATTGACTTGAATGAGAGCGACTGATAGTCAGCAAGTCACAGTCAGTGAGAGCCTATATGAGCTGAATGAGAAACCACTGACAGACATTGGGTGAGTGAGCGAGAGTTAGTGAGAGGCAATATATGACAGGCTTCGAATTGATGAAGAGAGCGATGGAATGAATAAGAGGGAGAGAGCAAAGGAGGGAGAGGCGACAGAGGAGCAGCAGGAGCAGCATCGCGATCAGGAGCAGGAAGTGAGATTTGCTCGAAACCAAAACTCTTACGCTAGAGATCTTGCGTGCAAGCAGCAGCGGCTCCAAGCGCGTGAGCTCCAGCACTCGTTGTATCAGTTCTTTGGATTCTGCGCACGAATCGTGGAAGCGAATGCATAATCCGTACACCGCTGAGCTGCGCATGGAGGCCCATTCCCCAGTAGGCATGTATAAGGATACTCTGCTCATCTGTGGCGGGAAGACTCTCCGCGGACCATCTGTAGCTTCGGCATTGCTGGGGAATGAACTCGAAGCCGGCGATGCGGTGTTCCTCGGCTTTGTGAAGCTGGTGCCGGATTGTCTGATGGTCGCCCTTGATGAGCATCGCCAGGGTCACAGGCAGTTGCTCCCAGCCTGGTGTGCTTGTGTGGAACGGAAGTGCCAGAATGCCACATTGCATCGTGATGCACGGCAGCAGGTGGACTGCCCATCTGTTCCACAAGTTGGCTGGATCATCTGGCATTTGAGGTTCCTGTGGCGGATACCGTTGCCCTTAGTTCGAGCAAGATGCGGGTGGCCAGCTGAGTTTCAAGAGGTCAAGTCCAAACACATGGAAAGAGATTTCTGATATGAACTTGGTCCACATTCGTCACCCCTGTCGTTTTCTTCTCTTTAGATGTCCCTGCATTGACAGCGATGGACGCTGGCAAATGATTGAAACCCAGATAATATCACACGCCACTTGTGTCATTCATTGACGTATACGGCATGCTTGGCTTTGTATTTTTTGAGAGATCTTTGAAATAGACTGAAAATCTGCGGTGGTCAACTGCTGCTGGAATTGTCTACCAAACATGGATCTTTTTTTTGGGAACATTCCAACGTCAGGATCGCAATTGAAACGCCTACTGATATGTCAGCTTGCGCCGAGCGGCGTCTCTGATCCTGCTGGTCCACTGGCTGCATTGCGGTTATCCAGTCATTAGGGCTCGCAAAGAAGTCCATGCATCGAATCTGCGCAGCAGCTTCCAGGTTCCAACAAGTAGCCTTCAGCATCTTCTGGTAAGAATCTTCGCAGCACCGAAGAGATCCAACATCGGGGGCGGGCACACCTCCGTGGCAGAGAGCAATTGAATTCATGCCTGCAAGTAGCAGCAACCGTTTTAGAATGCATGATGGCAACATCGAACCTTCAGAGTTTCTACATCTAGGCTGTGAAGAACACATATTGGAAATGCGTGGCGAAAAGCAGTTCAGATACCATGTGGTTTGGCAACGTAAGTGAAAGGCAATGATCCACTGTGAGTGAGAGTCAATCATGGCTAGCCAAGCAGTGAAATGAAAGTCTGTGAGGCAAAGGCATCGATCGGGGTTTGAACGGAATTTTCCCAAACAAAATCATCTTCGAGTGATCATGGCTGTTGGTCAGTCTCCATGATCACGCCTACTTTGGTTAGAAATCCATGTGGGATCGAAGAAGGGTTCTGAAACATTGGTTGCAGATACTTTAAAAAGTCATGGCACCATGTGAGGCCGGATACCTTCGTAGAGTCGGGTCCACTCTGTAGTGCCTCCAATCCATGGGATTGCGACTAGGATGTGGAGTTCCATCTTCGCTCTGCTCAGTCCCACGGTGAGCTTTCCAACCTCGGCGACACCTCCGGTCGCCATGTGTTCGTCTTCCTGCCTCGGCTGGATGAACAGGATGGCTCGCACCCCTTGGCTTGCCTGCAGGTGAGGATGCGTACGTCCAAGTGCTGCAGGCTGACCTGCGACATCTCACGCAGTGCTGCGTAGAAGACGAGGACCAGGACGCTTTCATGCGTCTCTCGGAGGAACAAAGCCAGTCTTTCGACTGCCTCGAAGGACTTTGAGCAGTAGATCCCTCCTCTTCCTGCTGATCCATGTTGCACAAAGTTGTACATGGGAATTGCATGCCACTGGTTGTGGCGTTTCCATAACGCAGGCACGCAGGAACTGATATCAGGGAAAATCGCGGGGCCAACCAGACTCAAGAAGATGTAAGCTTTTAGAGTGTAGATGTATAATGATACACTTCCACCTTTTTTGGTGACGCTGAAGATGTTCGGGTGGATTTTGACGATCACAAGAGACGGAGAACGGGCATGTCGACGTGTCAGAGGTAGAAAGAGACAGAACCATGAGACAGAAAGAGGGTAAGCTGAAAGACAAATTGCAAGATTGCCTCCGTCGGTGAACAGCTTGGTAGGCAGACAAATACAAAGATCGATTACCCAGGAACCTGAGATACACAGACACATCGACAAGTATACACGACATTTGGCCAGCCAGGGTTACAGAGAGGAACATGAATAGATTGGCGTATAATCTCATGGCCGCTTCTTTTAATAAGTCCTTCCTCTTAATTTCTACTCCTTCATTTTTGTTTGAACTCGTGCGTTTTCGTTGTGGGTCTTTCCCTGTCGTTCCAAGTCTCTTATTTTTCGTTGCAGCGTTGTCCGCTTCTTTTAATAAGTCCTTCCTCTTAATTTCTACTCCTTCATTTTTGTTTGAACTCGTGCGTTTTCGTTGTGGGTCTTTCCCTGTCGTTCCGAATGTGGGTTAGCCGCGGAAAATGTAGAAAAGGTTCCGTGGGAGGATGTCAGGCGGCCACTTGCGGCTACTTGCGGCCACTCGAGTGGCTGCAAGTGGCCGCGGAAAATGTCGAAAAGTTTCCGTGGGAGGATGTCAGGCGGCCACTTGCGGCCACTTGCGGCCACTCGAGTGGCTGCAAGTGGCTGAAAATGGCTGCCGGAGACAAGAGATTGATGGCGGCCACTTGCGGCCACTCGAGTGGCTGCAAGTGGCTGCTGGCTGCAAATGGCTGCCGGAGACAACAGATTGCTGGCGGCCACTTGCGGCCACTTGCGGCCACTCGAGTGGCTGCAAGTGGCTGCCATTTCCAAAATCAAATTACGCGCCTCCTGCGTGCTCAATGTGTAATCATTTGTAATCGATCGAATTAAGGAATACTCAGGTTGGTAATAAAATATACCCAGTCTATCTCATTTGGCAGATATATACCCAATCACTATTACTGTAATCACTATTGGCAACTATTAATCACTATTTGGCCACTATTAATATGAATCGCCACTATTAATTCATCAATTTTACCAACGAATCAATCGGATGATCTCCCACACCTTGCGCCGTCGCCAGCCCGGTCAGCTCATCGAAGTCCACTGACACGGTGGAGACGTCCGTGACACCTTGATGAAAGCTGCGTCGGCGTCCGAAAAAGGAAAGCGAAACCGGTATTTTTTTATGCCAAACATGTGGTTTTACCATGGAGAAATGTGACAAAAACGCCACTATTCTACATATATGAGAGTATATAGGATGTTGTGTCTTGAATCATTTCGGAGGTTGAAATTAAAAAAAGGGCAACAAAATAACCAGCGAAACAATGAGGATTGAAGCAAACTAATCGGGAATTTCACTGGAAATCATGATTTCACCAGCAATACTTGTGATTAGGCATTTCAAGAGAAAAATACAAAGGATTTAACATGGTTCAACTGACACATAAGTGGGATTCAAGCAAACATACGGATTCAAACAGCAACCATGGGGATTAAGAAATATAAGGAGCGTTTATCGTCAGTGTCCACATTCAAATTGCTATATTTGAGGCCAGGATCAATTCTTTTTAGGGTCAGGTCGTAGCGAGGTCGTGAGATGCTCATCAACACTAATCCATGTCAGAATCATAGCGCATGAGAAAAGCAATAAACCACAATGAAACAAAAGTAAACAATATAAGAATTAAACAATAAGCAGTATTCAACTCATAACACTAATCAATCAATCGATCAGAATTGTGGAATCATTAAACAGTACCCTCTGGTAAACTGTACCATAACTATGGAAAATCACCATTTTCCAGCTGGGTAAATCCACTATTTCTATGGCCATTTTCAAAAGTGTTTTGTATGTTTACCAGAAGGTAATTGTCATATTCCTCAAACGCGCCCTGTGATTCCTGGGACCCCCGTTATGTTTTCGTCCCGGATGCATGACGCAGAGAAGCGCATGGGCGCCACCCGGCCCGGATGGGCACCACCATCCTGGGGGTGTGTCAGTGATGATGATCCCCTAATATGAAACGCCCCCATTGCATGGTCCCAATGAATTTCCCAACAAAAACCCATGGGTTTCTGTGTTTAGATGTGTTTAGTACATTTTAGTACTAGGTGGAAGGGATTAATCATTCCTCATGATTCATCATCATCATCATCACCACATCACCCATGATACGCAGTCTGACGGTGCAGTGTTTCTATGTCTGGATTCGATGCCTCTGACCTCTGACCTCTGATTCGATGCCTCCACGAAACACACTTTGATCATCTTCGATTACGGCAACTTTCAAAACATCTCCAGAATAGGAAAAGTAAGGGATCACTATTTTGGCACGATTCGACTTTTCCATCTTCTTGGGATCTACATTCGAAATTACTATAGGCTATACCACAGTTAGCGGCTGTAAAAAAGATATATACCGATAGGACCGATGGAACTAAAATGGGGAACGCCGGGCGTGGGATTCCTGCGGCCCGCCGCTAAACCAATTTGTATTTCCATTTGCTATGAGGATTTCCGTTACATTAGTTTAAACTATTGGTTCGTTCCCCACCTGCCAGGTGAGAGTTGTTAGATTTTATCAGAGCGCTCTTCCTCCGCGTCCTCGTCCTCCTCCTCCTCCTCCTCGACTAGCTGTCCTCTTCCTCCTCGTCCTCCTCCTCGAGTTTCTCCTCGACCATGTCTGCATCAACTTCCACCTGCACTTCCGCCTTGCCAACTCTTCGCCCAACTCTTTGCCAACTCTCTTCGCCGACTCTCTGCGCCAAGCTCTTTGCCAACTTCCCAGCTCAGTGTGCACCGCTGGACCTCAACCTGGGACCTGCCCAGCTCAGTGTGCACCGCTGGACCTCAACCTGGGACCTGCCCAGCTCAGTGTGCACCGCTGGACCTCAACGGCCAGATAGAATGCCAGAAGAGATGCCAGATTGAATGTCAGCTAGAATGCCAGAAGATATGCCAGATAAAATGCCATGAGATATGCCAAATAAAATGCCATAAGATATGCCAGATAGAATGCCAGAAGATATGCCGGATAGAATGCCAGATAGAATGCCAGAAGGCATGCCAGATAGAATGCCAGAAGATATGCCAGATAAAGTGCCAGAATGTTTGCCAGAACATATGCCAGAAGATTTGCCACATAGAATCCCAGATAAAATGTCAGATAGAATGAATGCCACAAGATATGCCAGATAGAATGCCAGAAGATTTGCCTGATAATATGCCAGATAGAATGCCAGAACATATGCCAGAAGATGTGCCAGATAGAATGCCAGAAAATATGCCAGATAGAATGCCAGAAGGTATGTCAGAATATATGCCAGAAGATTTGCCAGATAAAGTGCCAGATAGAATGCCAGAAGATATGTCAGATAGAATGCCAGAAGATTTGCCAGAAGATTTGCCAGAACATATGCCAGAAGATATGCCAGATAGAATGCCAGAAGATATGTCAGATAGAAAGCCAGAAGATATGCCAGATAAAGTGGCAGAATCTTTGCCAGATAGAATGCCAGAAGATTTGCCAGATAGAATGCCAGAAGATTTGCCAGGTAGAATGCCAGAAGATATGCCAGAACATATGCCAGATAGAATGCCAGAAGATATGCCAGAACATATGCCAGAAGATGTGCCAGATAGAATGCCAGAAGATATGCCAGAAGATGTGCCAGATAGAATGCCAGAAGATATGTCAGAAGATATGCCAGAAGATTTGCCCGATAAAGTGCCAAATAGAATGCCAGAAGATTCGCCAGATAGAATGCCAGAAGATATGCCAGATAGAATGCCAGAAGATTTGCCAGAAAGAATGCCAGAAGATTTGCCAGATAGAATGCCAGAAGATTTGCCAGATAGAATGCCAGAAGGTATGTCAGAATATATGCCAGAAGATTTGCCAGATAAAGTGCCAGATAGAATGCCAGAAGATATGTCAGATAGAATGCCAGAAGATTTGCGAGTAACAACATGTATAAATGTCATGGTTGGGATGACACGAAGTAAAGTAGTTTTTTCTTCCGGTCAAAAAACCAGCATCATTAGATTCGCTTGAGGAAAGCAAATGCAGGAAACAACAATAGTTTATGGGAAAATTCCATGGTTTCGGGTTGGCATTTTCCCTTCAACCACCCCCTTGGAATCATTTTGTGTGCGCGTGGTCCTTTGGCTCCAAAGCCGGCTGTAAGGTGGTGTTTAGATCCACGGACACGGTTTCATAGCCATACCTCTCAAGGTTTTTGGGACCCTGAGATTTCCTATACAGCTGGCCCCTGCCCCCTACCAGTTGCCAACAAGGGGTTCAGAAATCATGTTACGAGGTGAGCCAACAAGTTATAAACGGGAGATAAACGGCTCCTCTTATATAACTTATTGATACTTATTGTACGTCCCAAGGTTTGACACAAACCCAATATCATAACACAAATCCGGTTGTCAAAGGGTCCATTACAATGAAGAAGCCAGCTGGCATCCTAACACTGACATATGGAACATCCTGAAACTACACAATTCAACATGTTTAATTTGAAAATCGTCTTACAAGCCCTCCATTTTCAAATATTCGTTCCATCTTCGTTTTCATGCAACCCCAAAAAAATACCAGATTCACGTCGTCCATCTTGGCGATTCCAAATAAGTTTTTAAGACCTGGATTCGCTGGAGGTGTCCTTTAAAAACAAAAACGCTGGTAAACCCAACAATAAACCATGCCCCAAATCATCAGAACTGCTATAAATGTCTATAAATCATCCCCAGGTTTTGTAGGATTTATAGACATTGGCTTTACCCAATTGATATTAATGGCCCGTCCCAAAAATAGACGAGCGGCGAGACGAGTCACCATTGAGTTCACCATGACGGAAGAAATCCGAGTTGAAAACGATGGTACCCGCATGTACCCGCTGGTAAACATACAAAAAACATCAAAAAACATGGAAAATCACCATATTATAGCTGGGTAAAATCAACTATTTCTATGCCAAATTCCCATAGCTATGTAACAAATTACCAGAGGCTAAACATTCCATTATTTTGTTGTTTTTTCAAACCATCCCATCAAGGTGGTTCAGGATTTCGCAAGCATGCATAATTGTTGATGATTTTCCAGTTCGTCACGTAGCAAATCACCAGAGAGTAACCATCAAAGATGCGGTTTCCTGTAAGCTTATCCCATAAAATATCCCGGTTCCATGGTAGCTTTCAAGCTGACACATGTGCGATGAACCCTTAACTACTTAACTGATCACTATGTTTCCATTAGAAAGGCACCCCCCCTTCTCAGACACACCCATCTATCAAACACGTTGTACCATATCGTGTGCTTGTACATGCTTATGCCCCATTCATTACACCCACCTAGAGCAAGCTATCAATCATACAATAAGTCTCAAAGTGCTCATCGATGGTTTTCGAATCATCTGGTAAACCCAATGTTGGTACATATGTAATAAATTAATAAAATTATATATTATATTATAAATAATATAAATACATTTATATTTATATAAATATGTATTTATAACAATATCAATTATCAAAGGAAGTTGGGAAGCAATACTTCCGAGTTACGAATGACTTTTACTTGATGGAATTGACTATGATGAAGGGTGGTGCGCGAGTGAGACTTGATGGAATTGACTATGATGAAGGGTGGTGCGCGAGTGAGACTTGACCTTGATGAAGGGTGGTGTGAGCCTTTGCATTACATGACAATACAGCAGAAAAGAACTGACTTTGATGAAGGGTGGTGTGAGACTTTACATAACAATACATGAGTGAAGAACTGACTTTGATGAAGGGTGGTGTGAGCCTTTACACTACATGACAATACATCAGGAAAGAACTGACCTTGATGAAGGGTGGTGTGAGACTTTACACTACATAACAATACATGAGTGAAGAACTGACTTTGATGAAGGGTGGTGTGAGACTTTACACTACATGACAATACATCAGGAAAGAACTTACTTTGATGAAGGGTGGTGTGAGACTTTACACTACATGACAATACATCAGGAAAGAACTGACTTTGAGTTTTGCAGCGAGTGGTTGTTCCTGTGTGCGTAGTCCTTTGCGGTTCTTGAATCTCTGGTTGCAGATTGCAATGGAATGGCTGCTTCATTGTTTGTCATGGCTGCATGAATGTTGCATGGGCATCCCCGTGTGAATTAAGTAAAAAGGGTGGGTGGCACCATTCTATAGTGGACCGGGGGGGGCTAGAAGTGGAACATCTAAAGAATGGAACCCCAAGCTCTAAAGAATGGATGGGCCAGACTAACATATCATAACAAATCTCTATAGAATGGAACCCCAATCCCTATAGAATGGAACCCCGAGGGTCCTACAAACAGAGGCATGTCTATAAAATGGAGGACCAGGTGATTGGCTTGAAAAGTGCTTCATTTCATTTGTTTCCCTTTTTTTCCTCTAGGAAATGGTGGACAGAGTTGTTGTAAAATTATGTGAACATTTTGTTTGTTTTGCAGTATCTGGGGATACCATTCTTTAGTAGTTGTCTGGATATTCTTGATCGACCTTGAAAACGTTCAAAGTTCCATTGTTTAGAGTTTTTGGATGTTTTTGGGTCCGTTATGGTCCGTTCAACAACACCAACCAGTGCCTATGGGTTCCATTCTATAGTATATAGTGATTTGATGTGATTTGTATGGGCCCTTTTATCCCCTGCCTAGGTTTGAGACAATCTTTGCCTCGTGAAATATATGTTCTTAGAATTTCTTAGAATCTAAAGCACCTTTCAACACCTTTGAACATCTTTGAGCCAGTGGCACAGAAGAGTTTGGGAAAATCTGAAATAATGACAAAAAAACATAACAAGTACAACATAATTAGATGTTCATTTTGTACATATTTTATATAAATTATTATTTGATATTACATATGATATTATATGTTTATAATATGTCAGTGTTTCCGCACGTTTTTTCTATAAAATGGAGGGCCCCAGCGCATACCCCTTGTCATTGAACCAGTGAGCTCTAAAAAAATGGAGGTCCCCAGGGCATACCCCTTGATGTCATTGAACCAGTGAGCTCTAAAAAATGGAACTTCGGTTTTTTTTTGAAACACACAACTGGTGTTTAAAGAATGGGACATTGTAAATTTAGAGGTGTTCCCAGATGATAACCCCGAAATCTAGAAAATGGAACCCCGCACTTCCACCAGATCAGGTCAAATAGCGACCAATACGCCTCTAAAGAATGCATTTGGTCAAAGATGGGCAATCCATAAAATTCAGCTCTCTAGGAAATGGCGCCGCCCAGGGTCACCATTTCCTAGAGGATATTCCAAGGGGGATGGATGGGCTATGTTTTGGGGAGGAAGCCGGAGCACGAAACCTTGTGTTTTTCCGTGTAAAGTGGCTTCAGCCGGCGATGACAGGTACCTCGTTTGTGCGGCGGGTGCGGTTTGGATCGTTTCGAGTTCAATCGGTTCCTACTCTGTGTTCTGCAACCAGTGGTTGTTCCTGTGTGCGTAGTTCTATGCGTTTCTTGAATCTGTGGTTGCAGATCGCATTGGAATGGCTGCATGATTGTTGTCATCTGGTGTTGCCATGTGCGTAGATGCATGCGGGTCAGCCACGTCATGCTGCAAAACGCATTGTAATGGCTGCATGAATGTTGCATGGGCTTTCATTTGGGGAGGAAGCCGGAGCACGAAACCTTGCATTTTTCCGTGTAAAGTGGCTTCAGCCGGCGATGAAAGGTACCTCGTGTGTGCGGCGGGTGCGGTTTGGATCGTTTCGAGTTCAATCGGTTCCTCCTCTGTGTTCTGCAACGAGTGGTTGTTCCTGTGTGCGTAGTTCTATGCGTTTCTTGAATCTGTGGTTGCAGATCGCATTGGAATGGCTGCATGATTGTTGTCATCTGGTGTTGCCATGTGCGTAGATGCATGCGGGGTAGCCACGTCATGCTGTAAAACGCATTGTAATGGCTGCATGAATGTTGCATGGGCTTTCATTTGGGGAGGAAGCCGGAGCACGAAACCTTGCATTTTTCCGTGTAAAGTGGCTTCAGCCGGCGATGAAAGGTACCTCGTGTGTGCGGCGGGTGCGGTTTGGATCGTTTCGAATTCAATCGGTTCCTCCTCTGTGTTCTGCAACGAGTGGTTGTTCCTGTGTGCGTAGTTCTATGCGTTTCTTGAATCTGTAGTTGCAGATCGCATTGGAATGGCTGCATGATTGTTGTCATCTGGTGTTGCCATGTGCGTAGATGCATGCGGGTTAGCCACGTCATGCTGTAAAATGCATTGTAATGGCTGCATGAATGTTGCATGGGCTTTCTTTTGGGGAGGAAGCCGGAGCACGAAACCTTGCATTTTTCCGTGTAAAGTGGCTTCAGCCGGCGATGAAAGGTACCTCGTGTGTGCGGCAGGTGCGGTTTGGATCGTTTCGAGTTCAATCGGTTCCTCCTCTGTGTTCTGCAACCAGTGGTTGTTCCTGTGTGCGTAGTTCTATGCGTTTCTTGAATCTGTAGTTGCAATCGCATTGGAATGGCTGCACGATTGTTGTCATCTGGTGTTGCCATGTGCGTAGATGCATGCGGGTTAGCCACGTCATACTGTAAAACGCATTGTAATGGCTGCATGAATGATGCATGGGCTTTCTTTTGGGGAGGAAGCCGGAGCACGAAACCTTGTATTTTTCCGTGTAAAGTTGCGTCAGCCGGCGATGAAAGGTACCTCGTGTGTGCGGCGGGTGCGGTTTGGATCGTTTCGAGTTCAATCGGTTCCTCCTCTGTGTTTGCAACGAGTGGTTGTTCCTGTGTGCGTAGTTCTATGCGTTTCTTGAATCTGTGGTTGCAGATCGCATTGGAATGGCTGCATGATTGTTGTCATCTGGTGTTGCCATGTGCGTAGATGCATGCGGGTCAGCCACGTCATGCTGTAAAACGCATTGTAATGGCTGCATGAATGTTGCATGGGCTTTCTTTTGGGGAGGAAGCCGGAGCACGAAACCTTGTATTTTTCCGTGTAAAGTGGCTTCAGCCGGCGATGAAAGGTATACCTCGTGTGTGCGGCGGGTGCGGTTTGGATCGTTTCGAGTTCAATCGGTTCCTCCTCTGTGTTCTGCAACGAGTGGTTGTTCCTGTACGCGTAGTTCTATGCGTTTCTTGAATCTGTGGTTGCAGATCGCATTGGAAAAACGCATTGTAATGGCTGCATGAATGTTGCATGGGCTTTCTTTTGGGGAGGAAGCCGGAGCACGAAACCTTGCATTTTTCCGTGTAAAGTGGCTTCAGCCGGCGATGACAGGTACCTCGTTTGTGCGGCGGGTGCGGTTTGGATCGTTTCGAGTTCAATCGGTTCCTACTCTGTGTTCTGCAACCAGTGGTTGTTCCTGTGTGCGTAGTTCTATGCGTTTCTTGAATCTGTGGTTGCAGATCGCATTGGAATAGTTGCAGTTTCCGAGGCTGTTGCGATAGCGATTTGTCAGCAGATTTTCTCAAGATTTTCGCAATTTTGGCGCTAGTAATGTTCCTTTTAGAAATCCTTTTAAAAAGTGCTTCAAAATCGTCTTTTTCCTGCTTTGGCGTCGAGATCCGGTTGTGGAGCTGCAATTTCCGACGCCGTTGCGCGTATTTCTATTGTGTTTTGCAACTCAGTCTCTGCAGATCGCATTGTAGTGGCTGCGTCAAGGTTGCTTGGTGCAGCGGCTGCATGCGTAATACTATTGTCTTTTGCAGCTGAAGATCGTAAATCCTATTGGAATGGCTGCATCAAGGCTGCGAAAGTGATTTGTCAGCAGATTTTCTCAATTTTGGCGCTAATAATTTTCCTTTTAGAAATTCCTTTTAAAAAGTGCTTCAAAATCGTCTTTGTGTCGCTTTGGCGTCGAGATCCGGTTTTGGAGCTGCAATTTCCGACGCCATTGCACGTAGTTCTATTGTGTTTTGCAACTCAATCTATGCAGATCGCATTGTAGTGGCTGCGTCAAGGTTGCTTGGTGCAGCGGCTGCATGCGTAATACTATTGTCTTTTGCAGCTGAAGATCGTAAATCGTATTGGAATGGCTGCATCAAGGCTGCGAAAGTGATTTGTCAGCAGATTTTCTCAATTTTGGCGCTAATAATTTTCCTTTTAAAATTCCTTTTAAAAAATGCTTCAAAATTGTCTTTTTGTCGCTTTGGCGTCGAGATCCGGTTTTGGAGCTGCAATTCTTGTTGTGATTATGTACAAGAAAGCTTCTCTGTGCAAAAACTTTTTCTGGAAAAGCTTGCTGTGTGTAAAAGCTTCTCTGTAAAAGCGTCTCTGTGTAAGAGTTTCTGTGTGTGTGTGTAAACGCTTGCCATGTGTAAAAGCACTGTGCGTAAGTGTTCTGTGTGTAAACGCTTGCTGTGTGTGAAAGCTTGCTGTGTGTAAGTAAAAGCTTCTCTGTGTAAAAGCTTGTTGTGTGTAAAAGCTTCTCTGTTTAAAAAGCTTGCTGTGTGTGTAAACGCTTGCCATGTGTAAAAGCACTGAGTGTAAGCGTTCTGTGTGTAAACGCTTGCTGTGTGTGAAAGCTTGCTGTGTGTAAAAGCTTCTCTGTGAAGAAGCTTGCTGTGTGTGAAAGCTTGCTGTGTAAAGCTTCTCTGTGTGAAAGCTTGTTGTGTGTAAAAGCTTCTCTGTTTAAAAAGCTTCTGTGTAAACGCTTGCCATGTGTAAAAGCACTGTGTGTAAGTGTTCTGTGTGTGTGAACGCTTGCTGTGTTTGAAAGCTTGCTGTGTGAAAAAGATTTTGTGTGTAAAAGATTGCTGTGTGTAAAAGCCTCTCTGTGTGTAAAAGCGTCTCTGTGCAAAAGTTTCTGTGTGTAAACGCTTGCCATGTGTAAAAGTGTAAGTGTTCTGTGTGTAAACGCTTGCTGTGTGTGTGAAAGCTTCTCTGTGAAGAAGCTTGTTGTGTGTAAAAGCTTCTGTGTGTAAAAGCTTCTCTGCTTGAAAAGCTTGCTGTGTGTAAAAGCTTCTCTGCGAAAAAAACTTGATGTGTGTAGAAGCTTTGTAGTACAAAGTAGTACTGGAACGTGTTTTGTGCAAGCTTTGTAGTACAAAGTAGTACTGGAACGTGTTTTGTGCAAGCTTTGTAGTACACAGTAGTACTGGGAAGTGCTTTGTGCAAGCTCTGTAGTACAAAGTAGTACTGGAACGTGTTTTGTGCAAGCTTTGTAGTACAAAGTAGTACTGGAAGTGTTTTGTGCAAGCTTTGTAGTACAAAGTAGTACTGGGAAGTGCTTTGTGCAAGCTTTGTAGTACAAAGTAGTACTGGGGAGTGCTTTGTGCAAGCTTTGTAGTACAAAGTAGTACTGGGAAGTGCTTTGTGCAAGCTTTGTAGTACAAAGTAGTACTGGAAGGTGTTTTGTGCAAGCTTTGTAGTACAAAGTAGTACTGGAACGTGTTTTGTGCAAGCTTTGTAGTACAAAATAATACTGGGAAGTAGTTTGTGCAAGCTTTGTAGTACAAAGTAGTACTGGGGAGTGCTTTGTTCAAGCTTTGTAGTACAAAGTAGTACTGGGAAGTGTTTTGTGCAAGCTTTGCAGTACAAAGTAGTACTGGGAAGTGGTTTTTGCAAGCTTTTGTAGTAGATACAGTACTGGGAAGTACTTGACATAAAAATAGCCAAGAAGAACTTGGCTGACATATGGGAAGACATGGAATGAGATGAGAAGAGCTCAGATGAGATGAGTTGAGATGAAGTGCAAGTGTGAAGTGTGGAGTGTGGGGTGTCAAGAGTGCAATGTGAAGTGTGAGGAAAGTGTTTGCATTGTACCGGGGTCGCGCGCAGGTCATGTTCTTGGACAGCAACACTGCAACAGCTTCGCACAAAGCACGCACGCACGGGCCTGGCTGGCGCACGGCGCATGCAAGTTCCTTAGTAGTAGTACTGGGAAGTGATTCATGAAAGTTTAGGTGACATATGAAAAGAGATGAGATGAGAAGAGATGAGCTGGGATAAGGTGAGAAGAGCTCAGATGAGATGAAGTGTGGAGTGTGAAGAGTGCAGTGTGAAGTGTGGGGCGTGAAGAGTGCAGTGTGAAGTGTGAAGTGTGGAGTGTGAAGAAAGCAATGAGAAGTGAGAAGTGTGAAGTGTGGACTGTGAAGTGTGAAGTGTGAAGTGTGGAGTGTGAAGTGTGAAGTGTGGACTGTCAAGTGCGCAGTGTGAAGTGTGAAGTGTGGAGTGCGAAGAGTGCAGTGTGAAGTGTGAAGAGTGTGGAGTGTGAAGTGCGAAGAGTGCAGTGTGAAGAGTGTAGTGTGGAGTGTGAAGACTGTCAAGTGTGAAGTGTGAAGAGGAGCTTCAAATGTGACATGTGAAACAGGACACCACTTTCGAAGAATGCATGCACGCACGGGCTTGGCTGGCGCACGGCGCATGCAAGTTCTATAGATGAGAAAGGTCGTTTATATATATATATATATCTCTTTAAGGCAACTGCCGCCCCGCCTCGTGCGGGTACTACTGGTATATATATATATATATATCAAAACATATCAAAACCATATGATCTGGCAAGTTGCTTTATGGAGCTCCACGCCTGCGGCACCAGCGCCAGCACCGAGGCTGCGGCTGGCGCCGGACTCGCCGGACTCGCCGTGCCGTTGGTCACGTTGCGCACCGTGCAGAGACCTGGAGGATCCGAAAATGGCACAGAAAAAGGGGAAAAATCCCCCAACTTCCCCAGAATTTCTTAGAAAAATTGATGAAAACCACCAGAAAAATCGGTGAAAAATAAGAAAAAACAGAAAACATGGTGAAAAATGGGAAAATCAATGAAGAAAAGAAAATAACAAAAACCGGGATTTAATAGAAAACAGCTGGAATTGAAGCAATTACTCAACAAATGGATTTAACTAATCACAAATTGGATTCAACTCATAAAATTTGGGATGTAGCATATATGAACATTTGCATTTTGTATTAGTTTCCAATCAGGAAACTCGGTTTCTGAATTGAGCTTTCCAGCCACCAAGGACCTCGACTTTTTCAAGGCTTAAACTTTTCGATGATCCCACGGAACCATGGTAAACTGTCCCATAACGAACTGGAACAATGTTGAAACATCACCATGCTATAGGAAAATCAATTATTTCGATTCGGCCATTTTCAATAGGATGTGTATGTTTACCAGAAGGTATGTGGATTGAACTGATTGAACCATCTACAATCGGCATCTTTCCTAGCTGAGTTCACAATGAAAGAACAACACTGGTTGGTGGTTTCAACCCCTCTGAATAAATATTAATCAGTTGGGATCATTATTCCCAATATATGGAAAAATGTTCCAAACCACCAACCAGAACACATAGGATGAAATCACTGCATATGGCTTCGGTTTGTCCAAACATTGATGATAACGTAGCCCAAAATAGCAATGTCCGAAGATGTCTAAAGATACACTGTGTAGTTCCGATAAACCAATCAACCACTAGATTCCGGTGCATTCTATTGATAGCACAAAACCATAAGATACAAGCTCGCAGCGCAGCCCAACTATCATCACCACATGAGACATGAGGTTCCATCTGGGCAATCGTAAACTGTACATAAAAAATAGCATTTAACATCACCATAAGATCAAAGTGGTGATTGCTAAACACAAAATCTTCGATGGTTGCCACCCCTATCTTCTGGAATCATGGCAAACTTAGAACCATAAACCAGTGGCCCCAGTTGCTGAAACATTTTCTAATTTTCCAGAGTGAACTGTCAACTTACCAAATGGTAAAGTTGGAGGCATGCTTAATAGTGTTTGCCACACTAGATTGAATCAATCCCAACCGCTTTGACTTTGTTGTTCTCATGGTGCAGCCAGCACGCACGTGTGCGGCAAGGAGGATTTTCACCGTTTGCATATTGGATCATGTTCAGGAAACCACATCCAAAAACTATGTCCGATCCCTGCTTAGACATTCAACAACTTTAATCCATTCTGAACACACACACACCAAAAAAAAAAAATCTAAGTAGCATGTGAAACCTGTAGTAGAAAACATTAAAACCACACATACCCTCCGATAACCAAACATATTGCAATTGAAAATCCCCAAGTTCCAGATGATATTCCCATTCAAACCTTCATCTATAGACAATTTTGGATTTGCCATGTTTGATCGCCGGGTCAACGAATACTTTCCTCGTTGTGTCACGCGATGATCTGAGGTCCCCCTGTCGCCACGTCCAAGCAGCTCCCACTGGATACCTCCAAGCCTTCCTGAGGCGCGAAGATCGAAGATATCGAAGAATCACAAGCCATATCCATGGAGATCACATAGATTATACACATATATCATATCATATCTAATGTAATATGTAATATATATATATAATTTAAATACGTGTATAATTTAATATATCACCGGCATATAGTATATATATATATATTTGTGTATGAACAAATATATATATATATATAATTTGTAAACATGATTGTTTATATAATATATGTATATGTCAGTATGAAAATCGTTCATATATGGCTGAAGAAGTGTACAGACAAGTCTCAACTTTTCGTTGGTGCTGGCATTTTGCTGCCCCTGCGTCCAGGCACCAGCTACTTGAGGTCTGAAATCTGCACGAGCTGATGGGTCACCAGCATATGATGGTTTCCTGAAATGGAGGTACCCCAATAGCTGGATGTTTTATTTCACGGAAAATCCAATTCAAATGGATGATAATTTGGGGGTACCCCTATTTTAGGAAAAAAACTCCATAAAAGTGTTAAACCAAATAATTCCGCAAAATCACCATAAATGAGTGTGCACTATATGACTATATGATGATATTACATGCTCGGAATAATGAACGGATTTCGGATTGTGCTTTTTTACATTGTCCAAGCAACCAAACCAGCAGAAACGAACTGCTAAAATTTTTGTATATAACCGTTTACAAATCGAACCGTGCATTCTGAACCGCAAATATGGACCTAACCGAACATGAATAGATTCATTCAATCAGCATTCATTTGGGGGTAATTATTTCACATGATCGCGGGGACGGGTTTTTAACTTCATCCATTAACCTCATTAGACTCATCAAACACATTTACGATCATTGTCAATCATTGTTTAAAATACATTATTTATTTATATATATATCTCTCTCTCTCTATCTCTATAATCCAAACATTTGGCATCATGTGGCCAATTTCGCCTCAATATCTCAATCTCCCTTTTGTTCGGCATGTCAATGTTACCCATCTGCCGCTCAGCTGCCAAGTTGTTCAACGCCGTGAGCCCCGGGATCTCAGACGCCGCGGGAGCGTCGTTGGACACGGTGAGGCCGCCATTGTTCTGGAGCTGGAGCCAGCTGGTACCTTGGAAGTTGCTGGGTTGATCCTCAGTTGATGGCTATAATATAGGGAAAATCCTCAGTTGATGGCTATAATATGCTATACAAATATATTGAAAATGATGATGGACTAGTAACTCGATGTAACTATCATAGATTTGTGGAGTTTCCGAGAATTGGTGGAAAAAACTGCAGGAAACCCCAATGAATTTGGGCAGATTATATGGAACGATTGAGTTAAACGTATAAGAGCTTTGATCCGGACCCATTGAGAAAATATACGGAAGTACAACTTGTCACTTGTCATTCTTGGCGGATCAAGGGCATGGATCAATATCATATCCTGATGTTACATGGATCATGGGTTGGATCGGGGCTATGGATCGCCTGTGGGTCCTCGGATGTCCTGGGTGGTTTTTGACTACTTCCCCTCCAATAGTCAAACATGGCTAGCTAGGAATTCCCCGAACTAAATGGAGGTTTTAATGGGAAAAACATCTAGGAATGGTGGATTTGAAATTGCTGGGTGTCATTGCCAAAGGGATTGAAAGGGTATATTACGTTTCCTTGGCGCAAGTCTGGAATGTATTTCTTCGGAGGATTTCCTTTTTTGTTTTGTCAGAGCGCTCACAGATGATATGGGTGTGTCATGCAGGGGCATACCTGGGAAACTGTGTATTTAAGTGGGACCATGACAAACGAAGACCATGACAGATGAACCCTTGGGTGCACCCAATTGTCAGACACACCGTTCATAGTACATCATAGTACATCATAGTACTATGTACGATGGCTGAACTTGGATATTTGGGGCTTGTTGACCATAGTGGGCTCGGTTGGCTCAATTTCTTGTCATCCGTGCGATACCTAGGAATGAAACCTTTAACATGCCAAGCCACAAGTCGTCCATACTAAGCTCAGCTCAATTCTCCTCCCAAGAACCCCAAGATATCCTGGCCGTAAAGCTACTCGAACCTACAACAGAGCTTTTTCAAAACAGCCGCTTGACCTACCATTCCCCAATTTTTGTCAAGAGACTGAGAGGAACACACACCATTTCCAGCAAACATGGCATTGCGCCTGGCGATGGCCCTGAGAGGCTCCCAGAGCTCCCAGAGATCCCAGAATCCCAGGACACGGACGGGACTGAAACGACCAATCATGATGCGGGATGCATCACTCAAAAAACCAGAGTTTCCAGGGGGTATGCAACACTGGGGGAAGGGACTTAATTTTGTAAGAGAAGATCTTTTTTTGTTGCGGCATGGTGCCGAGCTTTTGTTTAATCACTTGGGATCACCACTGATTGGTAGGGTGGAACATAAAAACAAAGATATTTGAAACCACCAGCAATTGATGACCAGTATTAGTGGTGATGCACCCATGATATCTCATGGTTATTATGTGTTTGCTGTTTATCTGATGAAATATCCATATTATTGCTGGTGAAATCCCATGAAATCAGGTTTAATCCCATTAAAAAACAAATATTTTTGCTGGTTAAACCACCAACCAATCAAAACATATTGACCATATTCATTTTGTCATCATTTGACATATCCCTGGCATCAACTTGGAACTACTGATGGCCAAAAACATGATATCCCATATATATTGCCATATATTAGTATATTAGTATGAAGATATGATATATCATAGTAGATTCAATAATTAGTTATCCCATTAATATATGTGATAGTTCATTCCAGTAGAGTTATAACCGGTTACAATCTCACACTATATATATAAATACATTGTGTAATAACACTATTAAGTATATACTATATATATATATATTATATAATGCATACAGTAACAACGTGTACTTCGTATTTAAAAAAAAAGATCGAAAGGTAAATTCCGAATGGTCGACCAGGCCACTGTATTGTACAGGGCTTGATGTTGATGTTTGGCCCCAGTCGCCTTGGTACGCCAATTGTTGCAAGGTTTACATGCAAAATCGATCAAAAGCCCAGCATTCTGAGGGTTTTTGGCAATATTTTTCCAATTTTTTTTCTGTCAAAAAATGGGGCTAAAGGGCTCTTTACGAAACGGACCTGCAGCGCACTGCAATGAGACTCAGCTGTTCCTCACACACGTATCTTCGTGATCTTAGTGGGACTTCGGGACTGACCAGTTGGGCTCAAAAAGGACCTGCCAACCAAACCATAGTATCCTCCATTGTCCTCCTGCCTTATTCCCTTGTTCTTGTAGATTCAGTCCCTATTTACCTTAGTGAAAGTTGGTCCGAGCAGCACACCGAGCGCGAGGGAAACGATTGTGTGAGGCCAGGGGGCACAAGCAGCACTGAATTTTGCCAGACCTCGGACTCGTTTAGGGTCACAATATGTTTAAGGTGAAATTAACTTCAACAATGATGCTCATATTGGGAAAAATGAAAGCTTTTGGTAAACTGATTACCATCATGTATATATATATATGTTTACCATTATTTACGATTATTTACTTATATTTAACTATATATTTAAAAATATTTGAAACATAATATGTGGGTTGTTCAACTGGGATAGCCTCACTACTAGACTTTCGACCGACCACTCGCTGTCGACATCGACGGGCTGCATGGCCTGGGCACAGCCTGGGATTTTGAAAACCATTTCACCACCCAAGCCATGGTTTACCAGGCATGCAGCATGATTTTCATTAATTTTTCAGAGTTCCAAACATGTTATGATATGTTATAATGTTGCAAGATGTTACAAGGTTCTTCCATGAGCTTTTCTTATCGTGTCTCGTGGCTAAACGGCTTCAAAACGCAGGAGTACCACAATAGCTAAGCCTATGCCGATGCTGGAAAAGGACGTCTATTAGTTTTGGGTTGTTTTGGTCACATGGTTAATTTCAAACTCTGACATGACCTTAGATTCCTTAGATTCCTTAGATCATCAAAGAAACTCCTATATGACCCTGGTCAAACTCCACGTGTCAATGAGGGCCCGACCATGAAGCGGGATCCTGTGATCATCATCTGCGTTGATGCTTCCAGCGAGCCTCCGGCGGTGTGTCCAAGACATTGATGGTCTCCAACCCGCCATCCGGCCACCAACCAAATCATGACCGTCATGACCATGATATTCCCAACCTACGATTCAAGGGAACAGTGCTTGCACAGCAAGACCCCCAAATCAAACAAGGCGTGGCCTCTCAATCTGTTCCGAACATTACACATCATCTTCGACATGATTAGAGCAACATACCCATCCATTGTCGTTGCCACATGTTTGAATCACCGGGTTTGTTTATAAGGAACAAAAAACTACGGAAAACGTGGTGTTGCCTCTCCAGGTCACAAGCTAAAAGGATTAACCAGAAAGGCCACAATCTGTGCAAACGTGGTGCAATAGACAAACAGGCCCCACAACATTCGACCCCCATACATTCCATGTTTAGGTGATGTTACTTTCCCAGAGTTCTCTCATATGTTCAATGGATTTCCCCTATGTTTACCATTTTTTCTGGATTTCCCAGATGTGTTCTCATATTTTCCATGGTTCTTGTTGAGTCTCATGAAAGTTCCCCAACCCTTGCCACCTTCATGCGCTGTGATCGTGCAGGTGATCATAAAATCGCTGATCCTCAGCTGGAGATCTGCACCGGAGAAGGCCAAAAGAACGGTCTAATATCTGGTTGGTTGTTGACCTACCCCTCTGAAAAATATTAGTCAATGGGAAGGATTGTCCCATATATTATGGAAAAATAAAAAATGTTCCAAACCACCAACCAGTAGTCTAAAAAAATTGGAATCCAAACTGGTTGGTGGTTTTAACCATCTTGAAAAATATGCTCGTCAGTTGAGATTATTGTTCCCAATATATGGAAAAAAAAAGGTTCCAAACCACCAACCAGCAAATAACTGACCATGAGTGGCACTTTATATCACTTTATGCACCCCCTGGCGCACATTAGTTTTTAGAAGAGTTCAACGAATTTCCAGGCCCAATCATCCCAGCTTCGTGCTCATGGTTGACTCCCAGCCGCTCCACAACAACAAGAAGGAGAAAACACATGCTGCAAAAATACACCTTGGAGAGATTTTCCTTTGAGGGTTCATGGCCCAATTATATACTTGTTTTTGTCCTGCTTGAGTGACTAAATTGAATTTTTGTAGAAAGAAATGCATGAATCAACTAACTAATTAACTAATTATTTGAGTCACTCGCAATCATGCCATCCAAATGGACAGCACACGGTTCATCATCCCGATTCTGCATAGAAAACCCTGATTCATCCAACTTGAGATGCAAAGTATCGACTTGCTGCTTGCGTGCCAACTTTTGATACCTCATCTTGTTTTTTCCACGCAAAAACTACCAACGTTTTGAAAAACGAAAGCTGAGGAACCTCATAGTTGACCTTAAACATATTTAAACAATATACGCGTTTTGATACGCCGCCTTTGCATCCCATGGTTTCTCATTTTCCTTAGTAAACAAATACATCAGCCCCGTTTGGCCACCAAGACACATATGACCACAACCCACTGAGCTACAACCTGGCACCAATCGCAACTCACCTGGCAGGGAAAGTGCGATTAAGATTGACTCTCCACAGTCTCCACCATTTTTTTTTTTGCTGCGTGGGTCATCCCATGCTCATTAAACTGTCAATCTTACATGCCCCCACAAATTGCCATGAGACCCTTGAAGAACATCCACGACATCAGCGCCGTTCCCTGCCCGGAGAAACCTGTATTGCCATCAATTGTGAGATTCACGCCCAGCAAGCCGCAGTTGCCTGAGATGTGCCCCGAGCTGTCAAGGCTTTATCAAACCTTCGTGGCCCGAGAACCTGCTGAAACTCGACTCTGGAAATTCGAAGACATGGCAATGGAAACCGTTCCAGTTGTAGATGGTAGTGCTTTTTCGACATGCTGAGTTTTCTCCCTAATTTAAACCTACATTGAATACAGTTCTATACGCTCAAATGCGAATCCCAATGAGCATTGGTGTGGGCCATGGCCCATAATTACATCAAATATAGATAAATATGGGCCATTATTTTTTCAAGAATGGTATTTCATCAATATATGGGCCATATATTACATGTTTAATGAGTATGCTAATAAAACTGAGGCTTATCCCATGTGCGAATCAATCATAGTCATCAAGGCTGTGCTGATCATTGACAGCTTGAAGTATTTTGACCCATAGCAGATTGACCTACAATCAAAGCCCTTTATCAATTATAAGTGGTTATAAAAAGTATGTTCATGTATTTTCATACATTCCATAGATATGATGACTTACAGCTGACTTTAATAACTGGTAAAGATTGACCTAAATGACCTACCAAACACAAGTCGACCACGGCAGCTGCTGTCCACGGAATATCGACTCGCAGTTCGTGGTAAAGGATAGCCTTTCACCTGTCCTCAACAGTGCGGTGACAGGACAGGATTGACAGGATCACTATGAAAATTACTTGGGACTGGAATCAATGACCATAACTGGCTATAACATTCTGAGTTGAACTCATCATTCAAATTTCAGCCACTTTTTTTTCCGCCCTTCCAGGGCCCCATTTGTAGCTGACAAATCTGAGATGATCCGAAATCACGAAGCCATTGTGCCATTGGGCTGACAGGCTGACAGGCGCCTTCCTATGGGATCATAAGTTCAGACGTTGAGTGGCCTTGCAACTTTAGATCCCATGTATGAAGGTTTATCCTTATCCTGTGTGGCACACATAGTCACACATATCTCCCATTTTTAAAATCACATATCTCTCATTGTAAAACTTGACAGTCAATGGATATCAATGGAATTGAGAAACATACTGACAGTCAGAAGGCAAACTGCCACTCATCCTTTTTAGCAGTTTTCATCCTTGACTCAAGAAAGGCCTTTGTCAATCTTTGTCATATTGCTATTTTGGCATTTTTCAGGGCCTAGTGGTTTAGAATTGTTTGGGAGCTTCAGCCGGGGTCGGGAAACAATATAAATATCACAAACAAGAAACAAAAGTGACGTATCAGCAGTGGATTTTCACGGATTTGGCTTTCACTACCCACTGGCCACGAACACCACATCGGGTTCACCTGGGAAATGTTCAATGCCGTCGTCATGCCACGGGGTGCTTAAGAACGGGATTCCCGTAGTGGATGATGATATCCCCAATGTGTTGGATAGTCTGCGGCTTACCCCCAGCCCGCAATGAGCACAAAAACATCACAGGGCGGGGGGGTAGACTCTTTCAGCGTAACCTTCTTGAAGACATTCCAAAGTGCAGCAACTGCTATAATCACTGGATTGGATTAAGGGAAAATCTAAAGGTACCATTGTTTTTACCATTAAATATGCGGGTTTCCTGTAGATTTTCCCTTAACCAATCCATTGATAATACAGTAACCTCCAATAACCTCTATGATCATCAACAAGGATTTTGACCGCAGCGCCTGCGGCATCACCCACTAACAGCGGCTCGGAGTAGTAGCGAAACGCAGTGGCCTCTCGCAAGCCGCCGCCGCAGGCCTTGACCCAGATTTTTTCTCCAGGGATTTGTGTGTGGAAAAGTGCAGATCGATCTATACATATTATGATATGCATCATGTCGCTCCACCAAATACTGGAATATATTGGAATAAATAAACTGTTGAACCAGCAAAAGCAACGGATATCAACATATATATATATAACTGGGAAGAGTGGGGATATGGACAACAGAAATCAGTTGTAGACAGCAAAAAGTATTGTGGATTTGACTTCTATGCGTAGCCACGTCACTAACAAAGATGGGGCTTCAACCAGGAAAAATAACATTGACCCCAGCATGAGCAGAATAAACAGGGAACATGAGAAACTAGATGGACATAGCCCAAGCAACATGCTAATTGCACGTCAAAAAAAAAAGATACTTATCAACTGAAAGTAAGCACATATGAGAACATGACTAATGTAAGCAGTAACAATGGGGATAGGAGCAGCAAATAAACCAGGCCACTAGGTCCAGCATGGACCAACCCAAAGCTTGGCAATTGCTTGTGGCTGGGTCATCGGTCAATCTGCTTCAAGTCACAAATTCGAAAGTGACAACTTCATGAAAGGAGCAGGAAACTGAGCCTCGTCAGAGACTATGGTTAAGGACACTCAAGCACTCAGGGGAAGCGCCTAAGATCATATCGCAGGATCGAAAGGATTCTGATCGAAATTCCTATAACGAGGAAGATTTACAATATATATATATATATGCATTCTAAACTTTAGCTTCCCCAGTAAAATCAACCATCAGCAACACCCGCAAAAAATGTCACATGGTATTTGTTACGTGATGGTTCATTATATTATATATATATATATATGTACTGTATGTTTTACGGAGTTGGTAGTATTCCCATCAGTGGCTGCCATCGGATGTGATAACGATGCAGAGGAACACAACAGGCCCTGGCGGAGGAGAGTCCATGAAAACCTGAGTCGGATGCAGCCATGAATCCCCTCCATCTGAAACCCGAGCAAGAAAGATTGGATCCTGCAAACAGAATGAACTACCCCCTGGTAATCAAACGTTCCTATGGAAAATCCCCTATAAATGGAGGTGTTAAATGGGGGATGTTCAAGTGCCGCGTTAGTTTTATTGGAAGGTAAGCAACGTCTCTTGCTGCAGCCTCCTTCCTTCACCACAGCATAGCAGTTCCTGACATCCCACAGCGATCGCGGATGGTGGCGATTGGAATGTACACCACTGAAACAACTTGTGGAGCCTGGCTGAACCACCATTCCCTAACAAATTGAGAAGAAATTCGGATCATGAATCATTGAGTGATGCGCAAGAAAATAACTGATGCCGTCAGCCAAATAGACAGTCTAATACTGTATCTCTTAAGTTTAGTTGGCAATTCATCAGGTATTATTGTTGGTTGTGCCCCTCTTCCCCAGGGGCTTGAACAGCCAAGCCAGCCTATGTCGCCATTTAAATTACATATTGGCACAGTTATCTATATCTATATGTTCCTATCTATCTATCTATCTATCTATCCATCTATCCATCCATCCATCCATCCATCCATCTTGGTATCTTTCAATCTATCTATATACGACAACGTGCGACCCAGCCCGATCTCTGTCGTGCGACCGTCCCCGTGGGTCATGCCAGGGGATGTCAAGGCATGCATGGCAGTGGCCAGTCTCCAGGGTCCAACCACCACGGCACCTGGAGATCGCATAGGCGGCTTGGGCAGAAACACCACGGCACCTGTGGTTAAATAGACTTCAACTTAGCCGCTTAGCCCTAAATTACTAAAATCATAATCATGTAATGGGAATCCTGAAAAACATGTGTATATTGTATGTAGATATATATATATATATTAGGATATATATATATACAGTTATATACATATATGAGTGGCGGACAAGATTACTTACTACCCGCAATGGACATGGCCAAAGTGGATGGTCCCCTATCGGTTGTGAATGTTTTCGCACAAGTTTGAACATCACATGTCCACTCCCCGCTACTTTAGTCTTCCGCTAATTTTGTCGGTTACTCATATATATATATATATATATATGTATTATCTTGGTAAATTATAAGATTTCACTAACCTGAAATAAGGCTATTTGGGGATGATTTACCTTATATACTTCTATCTCTCTCTCTTTATTTATCTATCTAGTTATTGATTTGGATTGATGGACATCCACCTGGGTATACAGTCCATCCTTTGACGGGTGCGTGCGAAGTCGATGTCCACAGACTCCGGTCCCAAGCTCTGGTGGCGGGTACCGACGCCCAAAACTACATGAAACATCCAAAGAGAGTTGGAAGCATATCAAAATGGAGTCCGAATTAATGAGTCAAGCACCAGCTTCAGCACGGTTCTTCCGCAGGCGTTTCATGTATGCAGCATATCTGTTGAAGTGATCTGCCGTCGTCACGTCATTCAAATGATTGATATGTATTGTTGGGATCAAGTTGTGCTTGAAAATGGGTTTGTTCAGGATGCCAGCACCCCCAAGCAAGATGATGTAATCCCGTGTGAATTGTATAGTATCACCAGCGTTAGGCAAAACCGGTCTCCTTGCAACACCCGTCCATCCTTTGACCATTGCACATAGGGTCAAAGGGTGAAAGTACGAGAAAACTCCATGAAGTGCTTTAAAAAAGCAATGCCACTATGCCCTGTTGGTGGGTTATTAAACTGCTATTGTTGAGGGGTTACCTTTCGGGAACTTCCCAGCAATGGCACCTTTCACAGCCGTCTTTGGCAGAATTCGGCTTTGCACAACCACCGCACCAGTTGGCATTCCAAGGGCAGCAGAAAGCTTTCCTCAGCCACTCCCGAAATGCGCACAGGAAGTCCGCTATGCAAAAAAAACAATATACCTGACCTGGCTCAAAAGGCAATCAAATTGATGGTTTCTTCATCAATGTGGCAACCCAACAATGAACTCCTGATTGTTTATACGACCCATTTTTTGTAGCATGAGGATTGTGTGTGAAATGGGATTTGCCTCCGAACCAGTCAGGCTTGATCACCAAAGGCCGAACCCAACTAACCACCATCCACAAAAAATAACCACCTGATTTATAAGGCCATCCGAGGTATGGTTTGCTCATGTTTCACCAAAATAGGATGTCCACAAACCCAACGGTCCGACAAGAATTATTGTATCAACATTTCAATTCTGGGGTGAAGTACCCCCCATAACAGGGCAAACGATATTTTCTCAATGTGTAAGAAATACTCTAATTTCCCAATATTATTTTATTTTAGTCTATGTTTACGATCGTTTTGGAAGACCAAGGCCTGAACACCCCATCATGAGTTCCAAATCCTTTTGTCGTCCAGCTGCTCACTTGATCCGTCCGGCGGCCAAAAGACGGTGCCTAGGCAGGAGAGAAACCCAGAGCATCCCAGCAAGGGGGTAAAAGAGAAGGGGATTTGTTTCAATGATGTGGGAAAACATGTTCACAACAAAAAGTAAACAAAAACCACTGGTTTAACCACCATATCATATTATCTCATATAATACTTCATGGATGACAACTGCAGAAATATATCACATCCCTGTTTCTCTTGACTTCTGCATCTAGTGAACCCATCACGAGCACGGTTTGTTCCCAAACTGCACATGCTGGCGGTTTTTAGGGACCTTGGGACCTTGGGATGGTTCCCAGATGTTCCCAGATGTTCCTCATCCGACCAGTCATGGCAAACAAAGTTGATACACTGGTTTGATTTTCTTGGTGTATCATTATAACAGTTCCAATTTGTACCAACTACCAATTTGCAGTCGGTTTTGGTTTTGCATCCCTCAATTCAAAAAAAAAACATCGCATGTTTTTCCCACATTATATATTTGGTTAGATTTCCCACATCAAATAACTTATCCCGATGATATCCCATGATAACATCCCATACAATATCACCATATTTTTCATTCGTGGAAATCTCACGGATGGAACGGGTGAGTTACGTATAAGAGGTTTGATCCGGAACTATTGAGAACGTATATTAAAGTGGCCACATATGAGTACAACTTGGTACAAATTTGTCATTTATTGGTATGGATCAATGGTGTGGATCATATCCTTGGAGATGCATGGATCATGGGTATGGATTGGGGCCTTACATGTTGAGCCGCGGCTGTCTTTTTTATCCCATAATATACCCAGTATCGTTGGGTTTATCTCAAGGGTTTTCTGACAACTCAAAATATTCCCCATAGATTCCTGAGTGTTGTTTTTAACACATCTTAAACAAACCCAGGTTACATGGTGAATCTTAGATAACTGCCAAAAATCTAATTGGTATGGTATGGTATGGTACTACCAGGACAACTGCCGTTTGCAGTTGCGTCCTGCATGTTCCTATTTTTTTGGTTGGTTAGTCCATTTTACATCATTTTACAATTGATAGCAAAAAAATAAAGTGCTAAATGGTACTCAGGTCCGTAACCAAGGTTGACACAGGTTCTACGAGTACCTTTATACACCCGTTGTTTCATCGCAGTCACCTCCACCACGCTCGCAGCCGGCGACATCAGCATCCACCAAAGAATATTTTCGACTCCGCTGCGCAGTGCTTGTCGCGTTGCGGGGATGGAGCGCTTCCTGCCACTGCAACCCATAGGAGGTAGAAAACTGGGAAAGGTAGCAGTTATTAAAAATTCAATGGTTATGATGATGATGATGATGGTGATGATGATGATGACGTCTTTTAAATACATCATGCCATCTTTAGGGACTTTCAGGACGCCCATCAATAAACCAAAACCCCAGCAATACATAGATGCCACAGGAGGTTGAAGGTGCGCTTCGTGGAAGGCATATAAAGCAGCTAAACAGAATATAATATATGATATTATATGTAATTATATGTATATAGAAACATCAAGTGCGACAATAGATTGTATGTTCAATGTTCAAATCTGTCAAGAAATTAAGGGACAATTTTGTTTCTTTTTTTGGTGTTGCTTTGCACCAATTGCGTGTTTTTGATATTTTACACACAGCAAACCAGAGATACTAGCCTGAACATCGGGCTGTGCTTGGTGGAAACAGGCCAGGGATAAAAAAAAATGTCCCAAACAGGCCAAATGGG